GCCCCGAGTAGTACTGCGGTTCTGCTTGCTGAGGGAAGTATTCTCTCACACATGTATATCTCTGTGTACGTACACAGCCTACGTCAGCACAAGCCCACACTGTGTGTCTGCACTCCCATGCAACCTCAAACAGTGCTTAGATATCGGGTACAGCAAGTGTCTGTACTAGAAACATTTTACCAATCTGAGAAAGCCAGTATTCCCACAGTGACAAAGTGCTCCCAGTAGAGAAACACCTATAATAGCATAGCTGCCCTTCACAATCCCACAGTAAAAACAGCCACATGAGTCAAATGAGTGGCAAAACCACAGTTTAGCCAATGCAACTATCTAGTCTAGGATCTGTATCAGTGCATTCTAGGCAACTGGAGATCATTCATTCCCACATCACATTCACAGGAAAGATTGTTGCCCAAACCAGCCTTGCACTAAAGTTTTCATGGTTTTAGATGTGAAAATACAGCATGATGTTGGTTTTCAAATGAAGTCAGGTATTGAAGATTTAAAGAATTTCAACCTAATTTAGTTTTTATCAGGTATTTCTCCTCCCTCACCCGGTGTTATTCAAACTCAAGCCACGTGGCTGGTGTCAGCAGGTGGTTATTTTGCCCAACACAAACAATTTTTAGATTGCTCCAATCCATTTTTGTTTCATCTTTCTCAGGAAAGCCTGTTTCACATGACACTTGTGACAAAAACATCTCAAAGCCTATACAGTCAATATTACAACTGGAAAAATATCTACCTAATACTGGCAATAAAGAATGTCTGAAAACTTCATGGATTAGAACATGTGAGGAGTTTCCTTATAACTTCAAATATTCTCTGCAACCTTGTGTAAAAGGCTAAAGGATTTGGGTCTGGAAGTAACAGTAATTCAGACCCAAGCAACAGTAAAACTTGGAGAGAGATAATGTTGTAATGCTCTTTTTCAAGATTCTGAGCATTATCATGTGTTCACCATACACACCTTTGCCATGAATTATTCCTTTAGGATAGGATAGGTCTGCATGCTGGCAGTGTATTTATTATTCTTTTCTGACACAGTTTGGAGCCCTGTGGATTAGCATCTGTTTAGTTTTGCATATGTAAATTGTAAGGTAAAGAAATAGTCCAGAATTGTTCTTTTCCCCAGGCACTTCCATGTGGACATAACCACAGCAGACTCCTAGGGACTTTTCAGGATATTTAAGAACTTCTGCCTCCTCTGATAAACACTCCCTTATGCTTCTCCCCTGAAACCTCTGATTTATGTATCAGCACTGGGTTCTGAAGCAAAATGGATCTTGCATGGCAGGAGGGAATGGACAGCAAGAGGCTTTAGGGAGCACTAGCCAGCACTGCATGGAAAAACAACTGATATTCAAATACTGTAATGTTTGAAAGAGTTGAGCACTTAGACAAAATGAAAGAAATAGGTATGTCATGCGTGTATTATGACAGTCTGTTTCAAGTAGTTCTGTCTTGTTTCACTTCGTGTAACCTTCCTGTATGCTATTTTCAAACAAATTTACAACTGATGTGGCACAACAGTAACTATCACCATGGATGAGGTGTACAATCTAGCAAGCAGATCTGTGCTACCTAAGCTACCCAAGTGACTAACAAGTAATTAGTTACCATTTGCTGCACTGATCTGAACAGAAACAGGAGCAGCACACGCTTTGTGGGAAGGTGTAACAGCTATTTTCCCCAGTAGAAGAAACCCTGGTCTTTGTGCTCCCAGGACATGGGCTCCGTCCCAGGCACCTTGCCTTGTTCCTTCCATGCTCTGCTCCTTCTGTCCCATCCCACGACCTTCTGTGCTCATTAAGAGCCTTTCCTCCTTGTTCTCCTATACATGGTATCTCTTCCTTCAAACTCCCATTTGTAAACACATTTTATCTGTCTCATGCTTCCAGTCATAATTTCCCTTTCTGAACAACCCTCTGCTTCTTGTTTCCACCTGTCTTCCAGTAGGTGCCTTCTCTGTGTGTTAGGTTTTTATCAAGTCTGACTCCCTTCCCTGCAATTCCATTCCCTCCTATCACTTTTATTTTGATAATCCCAGACCTGTAGTAGGTTTATTCAGTCTTCTGCTCATCTTTCTGATTCTTTCGGTAGATCTCAGGCCCTAACTCACACACCAAGCCCAAGCTCCCTTGCTGTAAAGTTCCCAGCGATCTCTATAACCTCTCCAAGATGCCACCTTATTCTCTTTGGATTCACTTTAGGCAGCTTTTTTTGTCTTGTTTGGCCAGGATCAGCCAAAGAAAGAAGGGCTGGGGATGAAAAAGTGTATTCATCAATTTGAAAGGCAGTCCTTGCTTCACGTAGCTGAAGCAGGACCTGACACACTTCATACATCAGTGCCACGGAAAGTACCTCTTAGCCCTAGAATTGAAGATATCCAGGGAAGAGGAGACTCTGGGATTTAAAACAAACAAACAAACAAACTACCAGGCATGGAATTGTCAGGGATTGCAAATTTTCAAGGACTTTTTACTAAAATTTGAATAGATTCTCATCCACATGGAAAAAACCTAAACAAAACTATCCCTCCTGTCTGCCTCTTCCTCAGAAATTTCAGATCCCACTTCCAATGCCTGGTAGCACAGAACACTTAAAAAGTGTGAGCATTTTCGAGCATGGTCAAAATGATAAATCCCTGCATTGCCTCATCCTCAACACTGGGAAAACATTTTGACTGTATGGTGTACAATCTTAGTACAGTTCAGTATAAACCTTCATGAATGACTTTTCTGTATGTTTGTGGGTGCTGGCAGCTTTCGTTGGTAATGCAAACTCCAGCAATGCTGTGCTTATTTTAGTACAGAATTTGGGCTGGCATGTCATTTTCCCATATCCTGAATCTTCTCTTGCTATATCCTTCATTCCTTAAAGGGATGATAGCCAGCAGCAAAGTGGATGCAGGGGACAGATCACGCAAGGAGAAGGGGTAAATATGAATTGCAAGACAAATAATTGCTATAGCAGGACATGAATGGCTTGATGGGGCCAGCAGTAGGCAGCCATGGATGGGATATACAACTGGTTTTTAGCAACAGCTTCCTCTAGTTGAATTTATTTCTTGGAGAGAAGGAAGACAAACTACACAGTTTGCTGAGCAGGCTCCCAGTTGGGCATCTAACTTCTTGGAAAACTGCAAATTCACTCACATGGTTCACACACACAGGAAAAAAAGCTGCTACCACAAGAAAATCAGATGGGCAGAAGACCAGACATCAGAGAACTAGAGGGTGTAATATGCTGGAGTCAGCAAAATGAGTTCAGTGAGCAGGAACACTGGAAACCCCTCTGGCTGACACTGCACAGAGTTCAAAAGGCAAATTCCTCCCCTTTTTCTGAAGTTATGAGGAAGGGCAGGCATATAGACCTCAGAGCTTATGAGATGTCTATTCTCGTGCGCTGGAGGAGGGGGTCATTCCCCAGGATCCCACTTGTACTTGGTTGGAGCAGAAATCTACCTTGTAGCACAGTGCCATGGACCCTCTCCTGCTCTGACTCTATGGAACATATGCAGCAGATTGGCCTGACCGAGGGTATACTGCCATGTGGGTACTTTGAGTCAGGAGTGGGCTGTGATGCTGTATCCATACCTGTAGGTGCTAGAAGTACCCTAGTCCTGGGCTCAGCATGCTGTGACTTTCTCTTCAAGGAAATGGCTGGGGGAGTCACTATCTAGTGCTAGTGGGCTTCTGAACAGGGTCTGAAAATGCAGAAGTAGTGCTAAACAGGTTTCTGTAGGAAGGGGATCTGATGGCAAATTCCCTTGCTAATCCCATAACTAAGAGAATGGTAATTCAAGAGACCCTTGCTTTGCACTTGCTGCACCCATACTTACTCCCAGAGCACTCAGATCCTGTAGGAGTGAATGCTTTCATTTAACACAAAGGGCCATTCTGGAGTTTTGGTAAAAGCAATTTACCTCTAAAGATCCTGATGCACCTATGCAACGTTACACTAACTGCGGATATGGACCAACATTTGGCTGGTGGGTTTAATATGCTCACACACTTTACTGCCACTAATTTGGGATATGTGTGTTCCTAGGCTGAATGATTAATGTGTTAGGCAGGTCAGTGCTTGGTCTCTCATAAATCATCATTGAGCTTCACCAATGACAACAGTAGAGGCCCTCTCCATATGCTTTTAATAAGCTCTAAATGGACTGGACATCAGTCATCTGTTTATTTCTGAAATCTAATGAAAAACAATTCAGTCCTATCCATTAGTAGGAGATCCTTCAGCCCATTTTCTTTCTTCCTTATGAATTCAGAACATGGCAGTGCACATGAGACGTGACAGACCCAGATGAATAGCTAAACACCTGGTCATGGTGGGAAATGATGAGTAAGCCCAGGAAGCTAGCACTACAGGGAATCACAGCTAAAATTTAACATGTCCTCATCTTCAGCTGAAATAAACTCATGTCACTGTGTTATGATCAGGCCCAAGATTCCTGTCTATTTAAATACTGTTGTTCTGTTCATTTTCTTTTTCTGGCTATCTCTTTGGGGATGGAAAGATAAGGGAACATCATCTGTTTAGATGCCTGTTTTTAACCTGCCCATTTGTCTCTCTTCTCTAAAACTATCTTAATGCAAAGGTTTCAACTGGAACTCCTGGCAAACTGGGGCTGGAATTCCCAAGCTGACATTGCTGTTGACAACATTACATTTGGACTGGGCTGCTTCCCTGACAGTGAGCCACAAATGCTGCAGAATCCCTTAAAGAATTCAGGTAGTGTAATAAGCACCCCACAGATCGAGGACACGCACACTCTGCTCTCCCCAGAAAGTGTACATGATCACTCGTGGTAGCTTTTACAACACAATGCATTTTATCTCAGACCTACTGAAGATTGCAAATAGAGGGAATTTTACAGTGTGTCAGAGTGTCCTAGTGTTCTTTTTTTCTTTAATCTGGGATATCCTGTATCACGTGGTTGAGACCTGTCTGTGTGGATTGGCAAGAAACTCTACTCTTATTCCTTAGCTCCTAAGTGGAAGGATTACATCACAGTGTTCTTCAGCAGTCCCTGCTGACCTATGCACCCTGGCAATTGATAGCTGAAGGGTATTTTTTGAAATCAAAGGGGAAAGTCACTCCATATTTTAGTGGAGGAAAGGACTACAATGAAGGAATAAAGTGATTCTGACAGTAAAGTTTAGATTATTGCACTGTTTGTTTTACTTTGCAAGGAGGCACCTGGATTGTCACTGCCGGATATATATCAGATGTGCTTCCATTTACTCTGTTACTGTGAATGCAACTGACAACAGTGTATTCCACTGAAAAATGGAGCCAGTGCTACCCTCAGAAGCCTGTTAGCAAGATTTGTGTTTTCTTAGCAGACAAGTGGAAAGAGGTTAGATACTTGAACCACTTACAAATATTTAGAAACCGCCTTCTTTTTGCCCCTGGAGAAAAGATGTATATTGTTGTAAAGGAGCTGGAGGATATGCAGCACTTGAATTGTGACTTCTGTTATAGACAAAGTGTGCATCAGTGGTCCTGTGCCACTCTTCATGTGTCACCACACCCAGTGTGTCAGCATTTAGGGTAATAACATGTCTCTGCAGGAGCTAGCTGTACATAGTATGTGGGAAGGCTTATGTCAAAACAGATGTGTTGAAAGTTCATCAACAAAAGCCTCTTTTCCCTCCCACCTTTGTCTGATTTAACCTCCTGTTTTCTCTCCCTTCGTTCTGTGGGCACTGAAACCACTTTTCTATAAAATGCTGTGCATGCACATTTTCATTTGAAATTAAGAGCAAGAGATGTTCCTTGATGGTAATGTCATTTGTTCACTGCCTGGTTCCCAAACACTGTGGGACCTCCATGCTACCCCTCTGTTTTGAAATCTTTTGAGGAAACTGAAGGAAGGGATTCCAGATGCCCTTTTGCCACCCGGCTGCTGGAGCTTACTACCTCCCTGAGAGCAAATACAGCCTTCAGTTCCACCCACAGACATTTCGCTGGCTCTGGTGTAGGGATGTATCCTTTGGCAAATAGATGGGGCATAAATGCCACTGCAGCGATGTTACCAGAGCTTATCCCTTAGGCTGCCCAAGTATCTCCTCACTTTCAATTAGTGTAAATCGCAGTGATGTCCAGGAGCAGCTGGCACTCACCCCATCTGCAGGAGTGACCCAGAGACGTGTGACTCACGCAGAAGACATCACGAAGGAAATACGTTTCTCGGAAGCCTTGCACTTGCCGCTGTTCCTTGAATCCTCTTTGCAAACTGACGTTTTCTCGCCTCTGAAAGCAGTCCCCTTGCATTTGTCTTCCCCTGACTTTAATTCAGTTACGTTGCAGAGAAGCCCAGCAGCTCTGCTGTGTTTTCAGTAATGAAATTATTTCTCCCTGGCAAGGAGAGGTTTCAGATGTCAGAGACGGAGCCAATTAAGATCCAAGCAGTGAATTCTTTGCATGAGGGCAGCAGGAAGGAGGTATGGCAGGAAGGAAGAATTTGCTGCTTGCTAGGATGTAAATATTATTTTCTCCATCTATTTCAATCTTGTAGTTCAATTGCTTTACAAAGCCCAGTGCAGGCTCTGAAAGCACTGACTGTCTCTACGCAAGCTGGGAGAGAAAATGAGCTTTTCCATATACCTCAAAATCAAGACGAAATATTCAGTAAAATTTTGGAGGGGAACAAATGATTAGTGAGGACAGCTCAAGGGAGATCAGTAAGGACAAAAACCAAATAGACCATTCTTTGGATGGCTGCTCCTGAACAGTGACAGATGTTTTCCCGGGGAAAGGGTGAGATGCAACCACCTTCTGGTTCATACAAATCATCTTTTGTAAGATGGTGTCGCAGACATGGGTGATGACATGGGTCTGGTTTGTTGTGAGAAATTTTAGGGGACAGGCATAAAGATAATTCATCGTTTTAGTTAACTAATGATTTCATAGGAAGAGGTCTGAATTTGGAGTGTCTAAATAGGAAAACATGGGCTGGGAGACAAACAGAGCGCTAGTTGTTGCCCTCCTCAGTGCTTATGTGGTCTCTCTCTATCACTTTTTGGTGCTCTGAGCATTATCTTGTTCCAATTACTATCACAGATCTGTGGTCTACCAAAGTGCACTCTACTGCCCTGGCCTAGGGATTACATTTTTGTTCCGTGCATCACTTCCCACAATTTCCCAGACGACTGGTCTATAAATGGCAAGCTGTCCATAGAGAGCTTTTGTATAGCATATCTCTAGTTCTTGACTTTGGAGTCCTCGACCCAGCAAAGTCTGGTTCTGTTGACCTGTCAGTCTCTTCCTTTGAGGTGAATGGTGGGGGGTGGTTCAAGCCTTATCACTGCCACATTTTGCTGATTTAAGAAAGTGTTGACTAGAAATGCAATAGGTCAGCCAAAGGGATGGGGAAGGGGAAGCTGGTGCATCTCCCTCATCTCTTTGACACTCTAGGACAAGCTGGAGAGGCTTCCAGGAATACCTCAACCTGCATCAGTAAGTTGGAATCTCTGAGGAGACTGTGAACACTTTGAGGATTTGTGGGGCACCTTTCTCTAATTCATCCCAGCCACAGAACCACTGTATCTTTTTTCATTACAGTCCCAAAGACAGAGAAATAGGAGTGAGTTACTTTAGCTCTTTGCATGACAGAGATGCCCTGTATTTCTCCTTTACATCTCCCTCTGTCCCTTTTCAGTGTAGAAATCAACAGTATTAGCTAAATCCTGGAGAAGAGAGTCCTGTGCTCTTCATATTTTTCTGATATAGGTACTTAATACGAATTAAGTCTTGTTGCCTTCCATTCATGGAACGTGTTGGCTGTAGGAAGAGCAAATGGAACAAAACCAGACTGGAGCACCAGCCCCTAGATCACAGGGCTACACCATGTCTGTAGAAAATGCCACCTTACAAATTCATGTCTGACAGTGCATAAAATATCAGCCTTCTAAGAGTTAACAGCCCCTGTGGACAGGGTGATTCTCAGCCGGTCTTGCAGCCTGTCTGCTGCTGAGCACGGAGGAGACACAAACTTTCTTCCAGCGTGTGAGGGTTTGAGCCTGTTTGGAGAAGGAGGAAAGATTGTTTGTTTGGAAACGAGGCATTGCCTTAGGATACGCAGTTGGGATGCTGCAAAAAAAATCTATGCAGACACACAGACCGACTCTATTTCAGCGGGTGATTTACATTCCTTTGCTCTGGCAAACACAACCAGATTTCTTGTATGTCTGTAAGTATCTGAAACTGTTATGACCTTTGGGATTCCTAATTCACCACAGGTCTTGGGAGACCGAGCATCTTTTCTGGCCATGTGTTGTCTTTTTCATTTGGTTTTCCTTCTTGTCTTTGATCCAGTTCATTTGTTTTGGGTTAATTTCATTTTTCGCTGGCTTGACAACTCCATCCATTGAAGTTCTCTATCTCAGTATGAACAGAGTGTGTCAGTACAAAGCGTCCTTTTACTTCCATCCATCAATGTGCTTTCAGTCAGACCTGGGGGGAATATTCTCAGGAGTAAAAGCTCAGCAAGGTCTCCATGCTTCAATTAGTTATTTGGCCTTTCTGACACAGCTAACAAGGGTGTTAATTATCGCTATTTAGAGCAGTGGCTTTGCAGCAGAGATAATTGTCCAGCTGGAACTGAGTGAGTCTCTTTTGAATAGAGCATCAAACAGCTGTTAGGTTCTCACAACTGGAACAAATTGAAATATTTGTAATGTTTTTCAACTGGTGAAAAATGCTCAGCATTAAATTAACTGAGGGCTCATAAAATGGAAGGAAGTCTCTCCTTTTTCTTATAGAGATTTTCCAATCAAAGATCTGCATAAAAATGGATAATTTAACTATTGAAACATGGTGCTTGCAGATTATAAGGCACGGGTTCAGTTATTACTGTTTTGGTTGTGTGGTGTTCTCAATGCATTCAGATGCTTTGGATCAGCAACTGCTGTGAAGTCCCTCCTCTCTGAGGGGCTTACTTACCATGACACAACTCAAAGAAAGACAACAATAGCTTCTTTATACAACAGAGCATCAATATCTGGTATCTGTTCTCCCACACTCTGCTTTTCCTAAAGTCTCTCGTAACCACAGCCAGTGCAAGTCGTTGACCAAGGAGCTTATCCTGCAGGTGAGCCTGCGTGGGATAACATGAAGAGTTTGTGTTCGTGTGAAGACCCACTGACTTCAACACAGATACAAGTAGCTAACCCAAGACAGGGCCCAAAAGAATAACACAAAATTACGATCGTTTAAAATATCTTTTCTGCCTAAGGTATTACTTATTTTAACCAAATTGTGTACTTGGTTCATTCACATAATCTTAAAAATTTCCATCTCTCTTTTCTACCATCCTCTTATCTCTCTCATCCATTCTACAAACAGGAAGACAAACAAATCATTTCGTTGGGAAGCGCCAGTACCCACGGGAGATTAGTATCCTGGATGAACATCTTCTGAACCCCCTGGAAGAGCCCTCCCTCCCAGGTACATGATTCAGTACTGAAAAGCTCTCTTGGTTACAAAAGATATCTCTGTTCCCATCTCCTGTGTGTGATCCACCTGCCCTATAGCAACAGTACAACTAAATATAATCCATCCCAAAGATGTGGAGACCATGTCAGGTAATCTCTGGCTAGTAGGCAGCAGTTTGCTGGAGCCGAATTCACCGGTCCTTAAATAGCAGGACCTCATTGAAGAAAAGCAGAATCTTTAAGTAAAGATGCTTTAAGTAAAAGCAGAAGCTGCATGACTCAGATTCAGAGCGCACAAAAGCCAGCCCAGGAATGAAAGGTGTAGACCAGTACAGAAAGCTGGAAATAGAGAGAGATTTACTGGGATTGGTAAGTAGTGAAGCTGAACCTAATAAATGGACAATAGGGGTGTAAAGAGGAAGACCCAGAGTGAGGAAGTAAGTGAGAATCTGGAAATCCACTGAAGATAAAAACTGGATGAAAAACTAGTAGAACAGGGGATACTGGGGACTAGTTTACTGATAGCAGAGCTGCCTAAAGGAGGACCCGAGGAGGGGAGGTGGTGCTTGAGGCTGCTTTGCTGCCAACAAATACCTGTGTGTGGCTGCACCACCTCCTGAAGGCTGTGTCCACCTGAGATGTGACAAACCTGTACTGCTGTCATTTCCTGTTAGCAGCAGCAGACACTTCTGTCACGTAGCTAACACTCATACCCCAATGATCTACCTGCATGTTCACATGATAGCATCTGTTGGGGACAGTTTTGCTTGCCTTTTCACTTAAACAAGATCAAAATTTTTCTGTTAAAATTATGTGATTTTTGCTGCTATTTTAAATATTCAGCTCTTAAACAAACAGACATACTGAGTTTTGAAGCCTTGTAGATAGCACATACTGTTGCAATGTGGTCTTTCTCTTGATCAGTTTTTATATAAAAAATTATTAATATTCTTTGTGAAGAATAATAATAATGTGAATTTTGTCATCAAAGTTTCATTAAGGAAAGATATCAACAGGAACAGTTGCTTTTTCAATGACACTTGTCCTTTGGTTATGTAGTTCTGTGCATTATTGCACTTGTCTGGGAAGTAAAGGGAAGCTCATGCCTGCTCCAACTCGTGCTGTTTTGGTCACAGGGGATACGTCTGTTGTTCTCTGGTGGTTCACAACATGTGGTGCCAGTGGTCCACACGGGCCAACTCAAGCTCAGTGTGACAGTGCCTATAAGAACAGCAACGTGTCAGTAACTGTGGAGAAAGAGGGCAGGCTGCGAGGGGTGCAAGTCTGGAGAGTGCCAGCCACAAACCGATACAGGTGGGTACCACTGGGTGCTAAAGAGGCAGCCACACTAAAGTGTGTTCTGTCTGTGGGGTTTCAGCAAGCATAAGTGTGGGACCATCTGTACTGAGCAGGTGGACGGGGCAGTGAAGAGAAGGGAAATAGGAATGCTAGCTGTAAGGATCTGTGTCTGAGCTACTGTGGAGGATGGAGAGTGGAGTGGTGACTTTGAAGAGATCAGAACAGGAGTGACTGTGGGCATGCAGTCAAGTGGAAGTGCTGCCATCATTTCAGTCCCAAAGCCTTGTCTTCTAGATTTGGCTGTAGCAGCTCATGCTGTTTGCTCCTGAAGTCTCCATCTCCAGTGCTCTCATGTAGAGCTGGTCTATCCTCCTGAGCAGCCTAGCTGAATGGGTGTCAGACAAAGAACAGCCATGAGATGCTGCAGCAGAGGAGCCTGCTCCGAAGCAATGTTTGGAAATGCAGGCAGGGGAGAGCTTGCAGATGGAATTGCTTTAGGGATGAGCTGTGTGAGATTTGTCTCTTTAACTACTTACTTTTTCTTCCAGGATTTCTGCCTATGGAGCAGCTGGGGGGAAGGGAGCCAAAAACCACAATAAGAGGTCCCATGGGGTCTTCATCTCAGCCACCTTCCAGCTGGAGAAAGATGAGCTGCTGTACATCTTAGTGGGGCAGCAGGGGGAGGACGCCTGCCCTGGGGTGAGGGCTGCACGAGCGCATGTGGGCAGAGCTTGCAGACACGATTCAATGAGGTTCAGTGGGTGGCTTGGTGTTTGGTGGTGAAAGATAGAAATCCCAGAATCCAGCAATGAAATCCAGTCAGGAGACTGGGAAGAACCAATAAACCAAGTTAGAAAGAATCTCAATACAAATATAAAGAACTCTGAAAAGCAAAAAAATCCCAAAATGTGCAAACAAATATGAAGCCCACAGGAACTTTGTTGGAAGCTTCTGGTGTTTGAAATATTTCTTCATCACCTTTCTTCTGCTTATTTTAAGCATGGAGCTTAAAGTAGGTGAGAGTCGTGTTCTCCCTCTCTTATTTTTCCACAGCTTAGGTTTCTTTCTGTCTGCCAGGATCTCAGATAATTTACTATTATGTACAGAAGCATCCAGCAGTGTTGTGGCTGCACTGTGTTAGATACTCTCTAAGCTTACAGACTAGGGGCTGAATCTAAAGCCTGTCGAAACCAGTGGGAATCTCCTTGCCCCTGGATTAGGCATTTGTAATGACAAAAACCCCACTCATGAGAAACGGAAATTCACATTGACGCTGTGAATGCTTGTATGTGTGTCCTCTAATGCTAGACTCAATGATTTGAAAGTCTTTTTATCACTTTGGCTCAAAAGTTGCTTCTTTTCAGCATGAGTTCTTTGGTACAGCCTCTTCCCAGAAATGTGATCTGTAGACCCTATCCTGGAACAAAGCTGTTTTCTCTTTACCCTAAGGTAGAGTGCTGAGGTTTGGGATACACACACTATTCTTGTAGGCATTCAAAGTTACCATTTACCCTGCCCAAAGCATATGGTGCCTTACCCAGATACTGCAACAGATTCTAAACCCAGCCTTTCTTCACTATAAACAGTACAAGACTTGTATCTATCTAAATAAAACATACATTTGTATATCTGCAGTTCCCTTTCCAATGCACTCTCTAGATTTAGGTCATAATCTACAGAGTTGTCCATTATCCCCTTGCATTTCATGACTTGTTCTCCAAATTGCAAACTGTAAGCCAGCACTAACTAGCTCCCTTTGGCAGATGTTATTGGAAAAAGTTTCTGTTCATTTTTTCCCACTTCCAAAGCACAACTTTCCTTGGCTTTGGAAATCCTGATGAATCTGTATGTTGGGTAACTAATGTTTGTTTTCCTTTCTCTGAAGCAGTTCTGCAACTCCAAACTTTCATGCTCTGTCCGTAGACCTACCACTTGCTTTTATCTGCTTCTCATTTACCTTGTTATCTTTTGTCTTCTTCTCTGAATGAGAAGACATAGGAGGTAAAACCCACACCATGCTTCTGGCCTAGATATAAGATGTGACCTACACAGGTAGAGATTTCACCTGCACTGAGCAATGTAGCAGTTTCTGAAATCATTCAGACTTCATCACCTGAGTGAAGATGGGCAGATTCACAAATCATTGAAACTCATAGAACTCAGTGTCACCAAAAAAAATAATCCCAGATGGCCAAACCATCTTTACTTTTTCAGCTGTTTCAGTGTTCTTTAGTATTTTGCAGGATACTAAAGAACTGAGACTCCAGATTGCCTTCCGAGGTGTGTCAGTAGGTCACTCACTATGAGCAGGTCGTCTCTCTCTGCTTTATGTATTTATGACCTTGAGAAATACCTAATGTACACAGCAGTAAGAAAGTTCTGAGAAGTAACCTGTAGTTTATCATATTCTAATGTTCTTGTGTATATGAAGTCCTAAATATGCAAAATATGACTCACGTGATATCGATGAGTTATTGCTGTATTGCCTTGGTTTTTTCTGTGAGCATTTGTATTTTCACATGCATGAGTAAAGTATCTGTAAATCAGAGGTAACAGACATATCTATCCCTCAGCTGTTAGTCCTTGTAGAAAAGCTCATTTTCCACAGAGATAATATATGTACTGATTTATATATGCCTGATATACATCACAAATAATACAATATTATTATACTGAGATACACGGATAACTTCAAGAGCTGGATTTTGCTGTTACATGAGTACATCTCTTGTCTCCTTTCAGGGCAATCCTGAAACCCAGAAGATCTGCCTGGGGGAGTCATCTCTCATTGAAGAAGATTACAAGAAAAAAAAGGACCTGAGGGATTGGGCTGGAGGAGGTGGGGGTGGAGGAGGAGCAACCTACATCTTTAGAGTAAGTATTTCCTCTTTGCATCTTTCCTGAGCAGTGTCCAGCAGAGCAATTAACTTTCACTGTCAATTGTGGCACATGATACTCAGTTGTTAAAATAAGGTGATGAAAA